GAAACGATTCTTTAGGATTTCCCAAAAGTACCCGTTGTTTGTTAGAAAATTGTATAGATGGCAGCACAAGTATAAATATCGACGTTGTTCCTGTTTTTCAAGAACTACTCTGGAGAAAATATTAGGGAAGGGCTGAAAGTGTTAAAAAAGACATTTTCTGATTTTCGGTTTTTTTCAGAAAATGAAATTAAGCTTTTCTTAGAAATGCAAATGTTGCAAACATCTATTTTTCAGCCCTTGTTTTGAATTAAAAATTTTTAGTCAGAATTCATAAAGCATCAGTATGGTAGAACAGTGGCGTAGCTAGAGCTTTTGCCTCCCTGGACGGTTCCTGAATTTAATGCCTAGGGCACTAAATTTGTCGCCCCTCTTGTTATATAAACAAATAACTAAAAAAATGTCAAAGGGACATATAAGAAAATAAATTAAAACTCTACTTCCATATTTGTAGGAAAATTTCATTCCAAACTTTTAAATTTATATTAAATGAATATCGTCGGCAACGCGCTCTACCGGCGAAATACTCAATTCAATGCACGCGAGCTGCAGAAGTGAGATGTGATTGAACTCACGCTCTGAAGTTTTAAAACAATTTAATGTAATTCCTTTTACAGTTTTATCGTTTTCCTGTATGTTGTTGTTAAGTGTTAATAAAACGTCATTTAAAATTAACTCCTAATTGATTGATTGATTTCCTAAGGATATATTACATGGTATTACTTTTGATGTTTTTTGTTGCCATTACCATCGATGATATTGTAGAAGTCCACTTGATTGCTCTATTTGCAGTTATGTAGACGGTATAAAAAGACTTTTTTTAAATGCAATAAACATTTGTTTATTAATTATTTTTTAATTAAATATTTCTTAAATGATTTTTGTTAAGAAAGCTCTTCTTGCAACTAACAGGAGTTAAGCAGTTGTGAGGAAAGTTCGAAGAAGTACTAGAATACTAATTCAGAAGTCAAACAACAAAAATCAGCGTTAATTTTTTCAAAATTTTCGCAGGACTAGTTTTGATGGTTTTTACCGAACCACCATCCTCTATTTGGTAATTTTTAAAATTAGAAGTGCCGGAGCTCTATGTAAGGCCATCAAGCAATTTAAATAAAAATAAATAAAATGATAAAAAATTAATAGTTAAATTTAAATGGAGAATAAACTGATTAAAAAATTATTGATTTTAGTTAAATCAATGGCAAACAGTAAAATATTAAATTTAAATACAGCAGCTTGTCTGATTTGGGCTACGAATTGAATTACGACTCAAAAATTAAGAAATGCCAGAGCTTGTTTCCGAGCTCCGGCTGAATTTAAGCCCTCTTCAAAGCTAATGCTTACATGAGTCTTCCAAAATTTTGATAATTTTCTTAATCTTTTGATGAGAGGTAAGCCGAAATGAAATTTTATGTATCAGACGACAGAAAATTTTAAAATTTCGTTAGCTAATCATAATTAGTAATTTAATGTAAAATACAAAAATCAGGCTTTATTATTCCAATATGTATTATGAATTATAGAATGAAATACTACAATCTGTGATACCATGTATCATAACTAGCCAAGATGGATACATGTATCCATGTATTTGTCTTTGTTTTTAAGCGCTGGCAGTTTGAAATAGGCTGTCAGAAACTAAACGGACTGGATATACGCCGTTTCGTGGTTTTACTCACGGTATAGCATGACTATGGGCCAATTTCTCTTACAAACTCCTCCATGACGATATCCCACTTGAAAGGATGATAGTTCTGAAATACTTCACCGTCATGAAAAACCTAAAAGCTATACTGATTGAAAATATACTATTATGCAAGATATGCTGACAAATTTTAATGTCAACAGAAGTCTAAACAGAACTGATGAACTTTAAGAATTTGGACAGGCATCTCGAAATGATTCTGACTAAATTACTTGTAGATGAAAGTTAAGAAGAATGGAATACTGGTGATCTGGTGAGGTGAACTTTCCTTTTTCTTAACATGGTTAGAACAGAAAGACAAGTAACTTCTTCTCATCTTATTCGCCGTATCACTGAACATGGACAATTTCTGAACTGCTTTTGCCTGTTTGAGTGATATATGTGTGTATGCTTGTAGCAGCACTCGGACTCCAGATATGAATTAACATGAATGCATCTTCATTAAGGAGATCTACTTAAAACGTCAAAGAAAGACTCAGTAATTTATGTATTCTTACGTAATGAACAATCAAATGCAGTACCATGCACATAAATTTAAATACGATTCTGTAATTATCAGAAAACTTCTATAATTGCTACCTGACCCATGCCCCAATTCCAGGTGGTGGTCTGGAGACAAATTTCCATTGGTCTCATAGGAAAAGCCTATATATACAGGATATACAGGATAGCTGTCTTTCCAATACAGCACAGTGAACACTAATATTTATAACTTGATGATTTGCAGCTGATAGAGAATGCAGTTAAAAATTCTCTCTGAAGGGGAGGCATAAAACTTTCAGATGATTATTCCATATGTACAATTCCTATTGCACATAACATCAGTACTTATAATTTTATAGAATTATTCATTTTTTGAAAATAATTATAGTTGATGTATTATAATTAGTTAATAATTTGTTTTATTAAATGGATTTAGTGTCTGCATTTATTCGAAAATCTCAATTTGTGCTTAATTCGCAAAAAAGTCATTAAAAAGAAAACAAGGTATTTTAATAACAGTCACCATCCCACATAAAACGAGAAATGGATCTTTGTTATAATATTAAGGGCTACATGACATATACGAGAAGAAATTTAAAAAAAAAAATGGCATAATGCAAACGTATAAAACTTACTTAATTGAACTTTAAAAAAGACTTAGGTTAACAAAAATTATACATAATTATGCATTTACAATTTAACTTATTTATCATACAGGAATTTATTTCAGGGTCTGAGATGTGAAAAAATACCTTTATCGCAAGACTGAATTTCTTCAGACAATCAGAAATTTTGTTTTAGATCTGTCTATCGTGCTTATGATGATCAAAAGACCGAAGTCCCGAGAAACTTTCACCTTCATCTGTATTTTTGGAATTCATAAAGCATTTCCTTCTTATTTTCTAATGAATAAATTTATTAGAAAATAAGAAGGGTATAAAAAAACAGATCTCTGCTGCTTTTGCTGTGGATCTTGAAGACACGTGTAAACAGTAGCAAGCAACGTGGGTAAATCGTTAATTCTCATGTGGGTCATTTCAAGTTGGAAAACTTCGTGGACATATGTTTGAAGATGACTCTATGGATGGTAGAAATGCCTAACTATTTTTTTCCTTTTAATCATGTACCATATATATTTTATGCAAATACATATAAATTCACAAAGAACAAATGTAAAACAATTGCCATTTGCATTTCAAAATATTTGAAGTTAAATTTTTTCACGAATTATATTTTCGATTCACCAATACACAAGATGCTCACTAATTTTTATGATGTTCTTTATGGAAGACAGATGTAATAAATGAAACTGAAACATTCCCCCCCCCCGCGCTTTGTTTCTACTTTGTGTTCTGATTTGTTTTATGAAGGCCTTCGTGAAGAAGACGGTCTCTGTAATAAGCGATAAGCAATTTATGCATCCTTTATCTCATTTGACAGAAAAATCTGATCCAACTGGGCATGCATTCATATGCAATAGACAGAAGAGCAATCGAATTTTACATTTTTCGCAAATGTTTGCAGATATTGGCTACAGAGCAGTATTAGGTGTAATTCGATACAGGGAGAATATGGAAAGAATAATGCATCTTTGCTATAATTAAAGTAACATCGTATCTAAAATGATGTTTCGGCACATGTTACATGCATACATAGAAGTGGAACTCTTTTAGGACGACACACAGATCTTTGCATATTGATAAATAAAAACACTTCCCAAAATTATAGAGGCGATATCCTGGACCTATGCGAAGGATTTTAATGCAGGTTAAACAGAAGGAACTTATTACATATTATAACATGATACTCTTACCTGCATCGAACTCGACTTGTGGTTCAACAACAACAACAACAACAACAACAACAACAAAAAAAAAAAAAAAAAAAAAAAAATGGTTATACACATAACTACCAACTCAGTTTTTAGATTTAAGTTCAGAATGACCATGTTGTAGTATATTCTGTCCTCAAATAGTCAGCTTATACTCACAGAGAGCTATCTGTTTTAATAGAATAATCGAATTTACTTGTTACTGTGGTTTGACTGACGTCGTTATAAACAGCATGAATCATTACTACAAGTCCTAAAACTACAGTTATATGAGCTGAGTACACTCCGTATTAAAGTACTTTAATAAGGTATTTCTCCCACCTTCTTAGTATGCCTTCGTAGTGTAGTGGTCAGCACGCTGGGCGCGTATTCCAGAGGTCCGTGGTTCGATTCCTGGCGAAGGCTTTGGTCATTTTTCATCTCTCTGGCCTCGAAATAACCTAATGTCTCTACAGTGGCGCCAGAAATAAAAAGGGTGGTGGAAGATGATTCTCCTCAACCAGGATTTGGCGACTGGGTCAACTAAAATCTCCAGTCGCCTTTTAAAAGGGGGAGTATATAAGGTATTTCTACCGCCTTCTTAGCATGCCTTCGTGGTGTAGTGTAGTGGTCAACACGCCCGACGCGAATTCGAGAGGTCCGTGGTTCGAGTCCCGGCGAAGGCGTTGATCAAGTCTCTTGCTTCAAAAAAAAAAAAAAAAAAAAAAAAAAAAAAAAAAAAAAAAAAAAAAAAACCTAATGTCTTTACATTTTGTCCATTGAATTGTCTCCCTCATACTGGGTAAAAATTCTCTATAAGCTAACAAAGGATGTTTCTCGTGTAAAATATGCTAGGCTATTTTAAAATTCCTGCTACAATTCATATTCTTCCCAAATTTCCCCAATATTCTTTATGCACTTTTCCCTTTAGTACGACTTTCTGTCTTCCAACTTATGGAAACCAGCGTATTTTACAATCTAAATTTGAAAAAGAAATCCACTTACCACTTCTCTTGTTGACGGGGTACCATTTGTCGCCGAAGTTGTAGTTTCTGTATTTTGAACCGAGGCTGAGCTTTTTTGATCATGTGGCAGAATTTGCACTAGTTGGCTCTCTGAAGGCTGGATTGACCGCAGTGCTTTGGCACCTGGTTTGTGACGAATGCGTGTTCTGGCTACTTGATAAATACGCCAATACAAGATTAGTATGACCACCAGGGGCACATAAAAGGTAGAACATGTTGCGAAGATCTGATAGCCTGTATCTTGACTCACTAGGCATCTGAAGAGAGTGAAAGTACAGATGATCAGAATTCAAAGAATGTAATCAAACATCTATTAAATAGCAACAGATCATCTATTTCTTTCAGTGACAGTATAGATCATGGAGTTAAGAATGAAAAAGAAGTAGACATCGTGCTTCAAATAGAGAATCAAAATTAACTGCATACGTCAAATATTCCCTCCCCAAAGTGTTTTAGCAGACGACCTCAAGTCATCTGTTACAAAGAAGATGGTAGGAATGCTGACAATACATTTACGAAAAATTTAAGTTTTTAAAACAATTCAGAGTTCAATTATGTTTTGTTGTGCTGCTACTGAATATTCAAAGGGAGCTAATGCAACAAATACTATTGTTTCCATTAGATATGTTGTTTTAATGCATAAAATGATTAATACTTTTCTTCTCTTTCGAAATATTTCTGTTTCTTGTAAGTCCCTAAATGTAGTTGGTTTTTGTGTCAAAAATATGTATCTGTTGTTTGTTAAGGACGTAATAATTTCGGATGTAAAGATGGTGAGATTATTTAAACGTCGCATTTACACTTTCTGGCTCTGGCTTTTAATGATTTGAGGGTAACTCGTACATACACATACACACACACTTATATACATATGAAATTCATATGTATATAAGTGTATAAGCACACATACACTTATATACATATGAAAATTTAAGAAATTTTAAATATATAATTTTGAATTAATCATGTTGACAAGTAAGTAACATTAATAGTTTTGTTATTGAAATTATAAAAAAAGTACATTTTTGAAGCTAATATTAAACAAAATAAATTTCTTTGACGAAAGAGACTAATAGAAAATTGGATTTAACTGTTTGAGTTCTTTAACTTTCGATGAATGATATTTTTTAAAGTACTAAATCTTGAAAATCAGGTAAGTTTTGTGTTATTCTTTATATCACTACTTGTTGGTCTTCATAAACTACTGAATCTGAAGAAATATGTTTTAAATTTTATAAAAATAATGCTTTTTTTAACCCCAGGTTTGCTTCCTTTTATTAAGCTAGAATGAATTTCGAAAATTTTTATTTCCAGTCATTTATGAGAATTATTGTAGAACCATAAGTAACTTCGTTTTACATTCTCAATGTAAGGAAGTAAGTATAAGTTGTATATTAAGTAAACATTATTTGCATTTAGAAAACGTAAGTTATTTTAAATTTGTATCACTGAAAGTATTAAAGTTTAAAACCACAATTTCTCCTAATTGATTGATAAAGAGTTTTACACATTGCCAGTGTTTTAAAGCATCCTATAAACTAAAGATTTTCTATGGTGTTGTCTTTAGATTCAAAGCAATGATATATGACGTTTCAAAGTTACGTTAACGTCAATGTGACGTTATGAAGTAAATTTTATATTAATATTTTTGAATTTTATGGTGATTTAGGGTTACAACTGAATGCAAAATTTTCATTTGCTGCGCTAAATGCAACTCTTGAAATGACGCAACTGAAATTCGTATTGTGTTAAACACCGAAAGAATACTAACATAGAAAAATTAGTACTGTTCGTTAGGATTTTATGGCAGAAATTTATCAAGTATTACTTCATGACGTTCATTAAAGAAAATAATTAAACAAGCTTTATTTTATTTGCAAACTTCAATAGATACAGTAGTATGAGCAAATAAAATAAATACACATTGTAGGTACTTTTAGATCATTGAATTTAAAATACTAATTTATTTTTGGTAATTTGAAAATAAAATATGTTATAAATATTGCCAGTTATGTTTTGAACGTTTATTAGTTGGAGTGCGCTTGAATACTGAATGTTATTTTTCCATAAATTTTTTATTCATTTATTAAATAATAAATTTACATATAAATAATTTTAAATGTAAATTGTAGGGTACCTAAATTTGCATCAAAATGTGAGTTTAAATCACATTTTGATTCATATTTAGGGGTTACAGCCGACAACATCGCAGCAAAAATGTCGCGGATTAAAACATCGCGGAGAAAACAGCGCAAGGCGAAAACGTAGAGGCACAAAACATTGAAGAAAATATCGCAGAGAGAAAACATTGCAGTGAAGAAAATATCGCAGAGAGAAAGCATTTCATCATGGTACAAAACATCGTGGTCGAAAATAAAGCAGTTCAAAAACTTCGCAGTTTAAAAACATCGGCATCGAAGATATCATGGTAAAAAATAAAGTACCTACAAATCATCACATGGCGATAACATCGCACACATGCGTTTTTGAAACCCCATACTGACATGTTATGTAACTGACTTCCGTTGTAACAAACAAATGGACATCCAAAAAATTGATTGAACGGTATATATGAAAATGTTAACCACACTTTAAGAATAAACGGAAGCAAAACAATGTATAATTTTCACTAAAACAATATTAGGTTAAAAATGGGAAAGAAAATAATTTGATCAATAACTAGGCAATTTTTATAGAGGTAACCTCATGCAGTTATTTATTTTCCTTTTCTAAGCATTTTTACTTTTATTTTTTATAAGAAATTATCATTAAAACCTTATAAAAAAGGTTAATTTATTAACGACATATGTTAATTAACTACGTAAATTTAAAATTCCATTATGTACTATAAATTGCATTAATTTTCTCCTCATTTTCAATTTTTAAATGCTTAAGTTTCCTTCTTACTTTTTTAGCAAAAAATTATTAATTCGTTCAAAAATATGAAATATACAAGCAAAAGAATCCCTCTTTCCGTCTTTCACTCCCAAATCGTTATACGAGCATGCATTTACAACTTTTAAAACCTGAAAACGCATGTATGCGATGGTAACGTCATGCGATGATTTGTAGGCACTTTATTTTTTACAACGATATTTTCGACGATGTTTTTAAACTGCGAAATTTTTTAACCGCATTATATTCAAACACGATATATTGTACTACGATGTTTTAGAACTGCGTTTTTTTTTTTTTTTGCTTTCTTTTCTCCCACGGTGTTTTGTATCACGAAGTTTTCGCCTTGCGTTGTTTTCTTCGCGACGTTTTCGTCCGCGATGTTTTTGCCGCGATGTTTTTTTCGGCAGACACCCATTTAGGTACACTACAATTTACATATTGGACTTTATTTAAGTAACATGGAGTAAAGCAGTTGCTCTGAAATTATTTATCCATGCCATTACTAAAAACTTAGAGATACATTATTATTTCTTGTTCTACTTATTACACGTCATTAATTTTTTTTAAAATTTATCGGAAAAGAATTTAGAAAAGCAGTTATACAATGGGAATTCAAATTGCTTAAAAAGTGTTGGTTTTAATGAAGTGTTTAAAGCTCTGGAAATCGCGTAGATTTACATGAAAACAGCAATCTAATTTGAATGCTTGAGAGAAGTAACAATAGAGCTTATTTCCCAGGTGCAAAAGAATTTCAGCTGATCAGGCCAGCCATTCCATATCTCTTCTTACCTCCACAGTATAAATAGTTATTGAAAAATACATTGCGTTTATAAGAGTTAAAAAATTAGCATATTTATTTGGAAGAAATCTAATTCCTGTACTTAATTAACTAGGTTTTGGGAAGGCCTTTGTATTTATTGTATGTCTGGTGTACGATGCACAAATCTATTTCAGTTTCTGGCTCTAAAGTATTTACCAACTCGTCGGAATTTGCAAACTATTTCAGGACTTTAGATCATTTTGGAGTCCTCTGCTGTAAATTAACAATATTTACTTACCTGTTTTAGAAGGAAATTCCAAAGCGGAATTGATCCAATTTTTTTTATTTAAAACATTTACAAAAATTTTAAAATTTTCATACTTACTGTATCTTTTTTTATCAGTTTGAGTTACACCAAATTTTAAGATCTGAACTTTCAAATGTATTTATCAAATGAAAAATAATATTCAGATATATACATCAATAAAAACCATTGAACTTATTCTTTAACTTTTCGCAGAGAGAACTTCTAAGCACTAAAGAACATTAATTTTTGAAATTGATAATCACATTTTGTTTGAAATTTAGCGGTGAATACCCTTCAGTATATGATATTTCGTAGTTTACGTTAAACATCTAGCTAGACTTAAGTATTTAAGAATGTGATGAGTTTATTTGAAATCATGCAATACACTGCTTCCGAAAATTCATGCAGCAAGAGAGAAACTTACCTGTATTTTGGATGTTTTGCTAAAAATATCGTATTAAGGAAAAGTGCATTTTGATTCGAAAAGTTCCTATGATGAAGCTTTTTTGAAGAAAAAATGTCTGTAAAGGATTAACTTGATAATTTTCGGGTAATGCGTCTGATAGAAATATCTACAGTTTATGGAAAGCATTTTAATTATGTTTTAAAATTTTTGAAATATGAAATATGATAAAAGCACACGAATTGTTGCACTATAGTGCGCTTTAATTTTTTCTCTGTACTGAATTAATTTTAGAATGAAATCTGTGATCTAGGATTTATAAAATAAGTCAAAAATGCATTACTTAGCTAACTCCCAATTAACAGTGGATAGATTAACCTGGCCTTTTCTAAAAAGAGAATAAGTTTATTTATTGCAGAAACATGGGAAATTACATTTACAGGCTATCCGAATAAAGAAAAATTTATAATAATATGAATGAGGTAACAGCAATGAAAGCAGATAATGTCACAGTGTTTAAGAATTGTTTTTATAATAATCTTAATTTAATTGTACATAATCTGAAATATATAAATATTCTTAAATTATCCATTAAAAATAAATTTCTAAATCTCAAAAAATGAACTAAGTGCATAGTTATTAATCTTCTGTTCTCACTGAATCCTATCAAGATATAAGTGTAATCAATATGAACAAAAGCAAAGTGTTTCCTGTTTTGAAGTGTATTCTTGTTTCGAATGCTGATTTAATTTATGCAACCAAATGTATTTATTTCTCAAATTAAACTGATTACAAGTACAGGTAAACTGCTAATTTACTGAACTGATTATATACGTATTTTTAAAATTGTATTGGATTAACTGTGGATCCCCGGTATTAACCAGGCTAA